CCTTAATGAGCCTCGAGAAAGAAGATGATGACGCACCAAAGGAATCACCACCTTTGGATGGTGATTTGCCGGAGGATGCGGGTAGTACTGGTAAAGAGGGTGGTCTCTCCTCTAAGGGTCTGGTCTCATCGGGCTTTGATTATGATTCTGCTAACAAAGCTGTTGAGAGTATTACTGGTTCTGAGAAGAAAGGTGGCCAGTTTACTGACTTCTTGGCCTCTGAATTTCAGAGGATGCGGCAAGAAAACAGTGCTGCTCACTCGACTCTGATGAACGTGATTGATAAGCATAAGGAGTCTATCGATGTTGAGAATGCCCGCCTACGTAAAGAATTATCTACCTCGGTGGGTGCGTTAGACGAGAAGGTTTATAACTCTGTAGAGGAGTTGAGGACTGCTACTAATGATAACTTTAATGCTGTGAAGATTTGCTTGGATGATCGTGACCGTCAACACAATGAAGTGACTTCTAGGTTTGATCGTCGTCTTGAGGCTATTGATCTCAAATTGACGAATATGGGAAGGCCTACTGTGAAGACGGTGCAGGGTGCTCAAGCTTTTGATTTAAATCCTGATCGTGTAGGAGCTCAACAGGTTATTGGTAGTAATAACGATTTGAGGAGTCCTTATGATAGGCATGTTACGTTGAGAAAATGTACTGGCTCTGCCTTTAGCTTGAATGGTAATGGAGAGCCTTTTGGTCGTGATGTAGGTCGTAGCAGTCATGACCAAGGTCTTCCTGTGGCGTCGAATGCTACCTCTGATTATGGTATGCCTTTGTACGGGCAGGAGAGTCCGAGCTTTTCCTTCAACCCCGTTGGTTCTGGTGGTGGGTCTAAGGCAACTACAGAGCATGGGGCTGGGTATGTGCAGGGTAAGGCCTTTAATTCGGAAATGCCCAATGGTTCGCTGGGTGATCCTCGAAAGGTGTGGCACTATGATTATAGTGACCCTAGTAGAGGCCGAATCTACTCTAGTAATGGTCCTGAATGTCACCAAGAACGAGTAATGGCACCTGATGTCCTTGAAGGTGGTAGGAAAGGCCAGAGTACCACTGTGGGTACTGCTGGGACCTACCATGGTAATCTGGAGTCATTTCCAATGACCCCA